TCATTTCGCATGGATTTCTAGGACGGAAGCCTGCTCCGAGGCCCGCAGTGTGATAATCAGCTAAAATCAAATATTAAGTAAAATTACTAATGATATAACAGAATCAGTCTAACTGAAAATGAACCCCTTTATAAATTAAAAATGTATTCGATTTTAGGTACTGAATCTAGTTAAGAAATTCTTCCCTTATGTAAGAATGTAAATGCATAAATCTAATTGAACATTATCTCCTTTATATAATATAAGAGAGTAAAGCTAACTGGACAAGATAATCAGGAGTATAATAAGAACGAATATGATAAGAACTTATAAATTAAATCATACTCGAAATTTTCTCGGGCCATTCAATTCTTGACCCCGTTGAATGAAAGCAGAAAATATGATTATATGTTTATTAAGTTTTGAAAAATTGCAATAGCTTAAATTTGATATTTTTCTTCAAGAAACTGAGCTTTTCAGTGTTTGAAAGGTTAAGCTAGACGGGAAATTCTAGATTAAAAAGTATTTAATGCAAAAATATCTTGAAACATATATATCTTTTAATACAGCAAATACTTAAAATTGTTTCTACTGTACAGATTTGATACTGAAGTATTTAGAATTATGGATCCTATATTATATAAATGAAATATTAATTGATTGAAAAGCATACGAAAATTTGTAAATTTTAAAACATTTTAGGTTTTTTGAGATTTTTAACAAATTTGACTTTCTTTATCCGATTTCTTGACTTCTGACCTTTACGCAAGTTGGACGCAATTTACAGCGAATTTTAAAGCTTTTGCTTGTTTTAAATGTTAAATGCAAAGTCTCGTTTTGTAAGACAACAGTGCAATTTTTTCTGTCTCTTCTCCTTTGACAATCGCTGCGTACCATGTGATGTTCATTATTATGTTTTAAATAATTATCTTTTGTTGGTGTTGATTCAGTAGTGGTAATCCCACCCTGCATGCTTAAATTAGCCTCATATCGTGGAACATTTCGTTCGGTCAGGAGAGATTTTCCTTTATCTATACGAAGCTGGTTACCATTAACAGAATCACAGCAGTTTGATAAATGGACTCTTCTTTCGTGATGATGATGACAGACTTCATTGGTCAATGAGCGCTGGTATCCTTTTTCTTTATGATTCCTAACAATATTATCCCTTTTTGAATTTGTAGATTTTTTTTTCTTTGTGACATCTTTATGCGCTACCTCCCCACCCACATTAATTTCCTTTGTCTCATATTTTTTCTTATCTTCTCTAACAATTTGATGCATACTTTGCTTACTTGCACATTCATTGTCAATGCTCTCCCTCGCTTTAAGACTTTTATCCACATTGCTTACGGCATAGTTCGAAAAAGTGACTTCTTCACTTGTTTCTTTTTTTTTCCTTCTTCTTTCTGCACGAATAATTTCTATATTTTTTTCAGATATTCTTCTCATCGATGCACTCGAACTAATCTCTCCCTCAGAGTCAGTACATTTCATGTTTTGGTCGGATGGATTTGAATTAAATTCGCTTTTCTTCGTCTCACTTGAACTTTCTTCAACCGAAATGAGCTTTACATCTGCCTCCTGTTTTATATCATCCGACATAACCAAACTATATGTTTGCTCCTTAATTTCTTTGATATTGATCGCGCTCATATTTGAAGAATTTGATTTATTCCTATTTGTGTCCTCTCTCTTAACAGATGTTTCAGAAAAGTATTTCGCATCGTTTTCATATCTTTCATCTTCCGCAGTATCCGAACCACAAATTCTCTTCAAAGCTTCCTTCACGCAGCTTTTTCTTTCCTCTGAAGAACTCGATTTTGTTTTACTTGTGCATTCAGCCTTATTGGCTTTTTCGTGGGCTAGATCAGCTTTCCTCTCAGAATATTCTTTCATAGTATTTGTGCACTGAAATGAATTACTTGACATAATATCCTCTAAAGTTTCTGCCACAAAAAATCTTTGTGTACCATCTCTATTACTTTTTTCTGTAGATGTAGTTATTTCGATATTCCTTTCATTCACAAGCAGCTGCTTATTTTCTGTCACTTCGCCAGCAAAAACTGATCTAGAGTCCTCAACCATGTTTAGCTTAATTGCTTCTTCTATGGAAAGAGACTGCTTATCTCCTTTACCATCAATACCTTGATCACATTCTGTACCTATTGCTCTTCGACCTGATTGATTTAGCTTCGGAAAAATGTCCTTCTGAAGACCTTCTAGCGTTTGCATTCTATTCTGGTCTAAAGCAATTTTGTGGTTTTCGTTAGTATTATTTCTTTGCGTGCATTTACCTGTAACAAGAGATGGAATAAATACCTTACTTATTTCAGCCTTCACTCCAATATCGTCTCGTTTTACAATATCTGCTTCCATTTTACTTGCGATACGGTTCCAGAAAGTGCTTTCTTCACATGTGTTTTCTTTTTTCTTATCATGTTCTATAGGAAACGATTCCATAAATTGCTCAGACATTCCTTTTGTCTGCATATCTTGACTGCCACTGGCCTCAGAAACCTCTTTAGTGTTGCTCGCACTCTGATCTAATTGATCTGATTTCCATTCATATTTTATAAGATTTCTTTCACATTGTTGATCATCTGTATTACTAACATCAACGTTTATGTCACTATCGGCCTTGACACCGCCCATGTTCAGAACTGAGTCACTTATACGTTTTCTTTCAGTAGTATCTTCCGCATATAAAGATGGCATATCTTCTCCCATATTGCTTATATGCTTATCTACAGAAATTCTTTTCACTTCAGTAACCTCATTTTCTTCACTATCCTTTTCTTCACAAACAGATGGCATAAATTTCTTAATTATATTCACTGATACAGTTACATTAATGTGTTGCTGAAAGTCTCGTTTTCTACACGGACTTGAATGAAATGATTTCGGTAGATGTTTTTCAGTGTCCGTATTACCTTCTTGCTCAAAAATGCACTGCTGTGCTGGGCTACATTTTTCATTTTCTGATTTAATCTGAACGTTTTCTACATGAATATTTTTTTCTATTTCACTTGACATCTGATTGGAAGTATCTGATTCTAACTGAGCCTCAGTTGATTTACTTGCTCCTGCACAATAAGCAGAACACATATTTAATTCAACAGCTCTTTTACAAGCTTCTGTCCCAGAAACAAGTAGGATATCTCGTTCACATTTTTTATCCTTTAATGCTCGTCGAAAATTTCGCTTCGAATCAAAATTTCGCTCTTTTGGCGGATATTTTTTACGAAATATTTTTCTCATATGGACACTATGACAAGAGAGTGGATTCTCTTTCATTTCCGTCTCTTTTAGGCTCTTAACTCCTTTCTCTGATGCTTTCTCTTTCCCTTCAAAATTTTCTTTCGCTTCATTTGTGCTAGGCCTTGACTCTCCGTTATCACATTGCTTTGGTTCAATGATATGAACGTTTGTGCTAGGATCTGAAAGACTTGATTCACTGTTAATACTTTCTCTTTGTTCAATTATATTATCGTCAGGACCTAAATTGCCCTGCTCCTCATTTTGCTTGATGTCTTTCTCCCTTTGGTCTTGAGGCGATGCACCCAGGTTAATTACTTTTTTAGAATCCTTTCCTGCTCCATTTGCGAGCGTTTCTGATCGGTTTGTCTTTTCGTCCATCCCTTGTATGTTTTCATCTATTTTTATTGAGATTTTCTCTTCTTCTGCCACATCTCTTTCGGCTTCGTTTGAGATAGGATCTGAAGAACCTAATTCCCTGTTCTTACATTCTATTTTTGCAATGATATTATCATCAGGAATTAAATTCCTATGATCTACAGTTTGCTTGATGTCTTTCTCACAGTGCTCTTGAGTCGATACACCGAGGTTAATATCATTTTCAGAACACTTTCCTACCCCATTTGCGTTCGTTTCTGATCGTTCCTTCTGTACCTTCTTTTGTGGGTTCTCATCTATTTTCATTGACGTTTTCTCTTCTCCTGCATCATCTCTTTCTGCTTCGTTTGTGTTAGGATCTGAAGCACTCAATTCACTTTTATTGCTTTCTCTTTGTTCATTTATATTACCGTCAGGAACTAAAATGCCCCGCTTCTCAGTTTGCTTGATGTCTTTCTCACTGTAGTCTTGAGTAGATACACCCACGTTCATGTCTTTTTCAGAAACTTTTCCTACCCCATTTAAGATTGTTTCTGATCGGTTTGTCTTTGCGTTTATCCCTTGTAGGTTGCCATCTGCTTTTATTAGGGTTTCCTCCTTTCCTGCAATATTCCTCTCAGATTCGTCTGTGTCAAGTTCTGAAGAACTTGATTCCCCGTAATTATTTTTTCTTTGTTCAATCCTAATATTGTTAGGAACGGAATTCCCCTGTTCATCATTTTGCTTGATGTCTTTCTCAGTATGACCTTCACTCGATGCAGCCGGACGAAGTGCTTTTTCAGAAACTTTTCTCACATCGACTATCGATTCTGATGGACAGTTCTCTTCATACCTCACTGTTATGTTGCAATGAGCTTTTCGTGATAATTCCTCTTTTCCAGCACCATCTGTTTCAGATTTCATTATGCACAGATCTGAAGGACTTGATTGTACAATATAAGACTCTATTGATTCAATCATATTTTCACCAGAAATTGAATTCTCCTGTGCCCCATTTTGCTCGCTGTCTCTCGTCCCCTGCTCCTCAGTTTGCTTAATGCGTTCCTCACTGTGGTCTTGAGTCGATGCACCCACGTTAATGTCTTTTTCAGCATCTTTTTCTGTCATATTTAAGATCGTTGCTGATCTGTTTTTCTTTTCGTCCATCCCTTGTAGATTGCCTTCTGCCTTTTTGGGGGTTTTCTCTTTTCCTGAAATAATCCTCTCAGCTTCGTCTGTGTTAATATCTGAAGAACTTGATTTCCCGTTATTACTTTCTCTTTCTTCAATGATGATATTAATAGGAACGAAATTTCCCTGTTCATCAGTTTGCTTGATGTCTTTCTCAGCGTGGTCTTGACTGAATGCAACCGGACGAATATCTTTTTCACTCTCTTTTGGTTGAATCATGTTTTCGTCACAAATTGAATTCTCCTGTGCCCCATTTCGCTTGTTTTGTCTTTCTCATTATGGCCTCGATTCGATGCACATTCTTCAACCTTTTTTTCAGAATCGCGTCCTGTCACATTTACTATAGCTTCTGATGAGCATTCCTGTTCAACCATGCCTCGTACGTTATTATGCGTTTTTCTTAATGTTTCCTCTTTCCCTGAAACATGTGTTTCACCTTCGTTTCTGCTAGGATGTGAAGCCCTTGATTCCATGTTATTACTTTCTCTTTGTTCATTGATATTATAGTCAGGAACAAAATTCTCCTGCTCCTCAGATATCTTGATATCTTTATCACTGTGGTCTGGACTCGATGCACCCACGTTAATATCTTTTTCAAAATATTCTCCTGTCCCATTTGCAATAGTTTCTGACCGGTTTTTATTTTCGTCCATCCCTTGTAGGTTGCCATTTGCTTTTACTAGGGTTTCCTCCTTTCCTGCAATTTTCCTCTCAGCTTCGTCTGTGTTAAGGTCTGAAGAACTTGATTCCCCATTATTATTTTCTCTTTGTTCAAAGATAATATTGTTATGAACGGAATTCGTCTGTCCATCATTTTGCTTGATGTCTTTCTCAGTATGGTCTTGGCTCGATGCAAACGGAAGAATATCTTTTCCCGAATCTGTTCTTATATCGGCGATTGATTCTGATTGACATTTCTCTTCACCCCTCAACGTTTTGTTGCAATGAACTTTTCTTGGTATTTCCTCATTTCCAATGCTATCTGTTTCAGGTGTATCTGTGCAGCGATCTGAAGGACTTGATTGTATGTTATTACTCTCTTTTGGTTCAAAGATATTTTCGTCAGAAATTGAATTTTCCTGTGCCCCATTTTGCTTCCTGTATTCCTCATTACGGCCTTGATTCGATGCAACTTCATCAACGCCTTTTTCAGAATTTCGTGCCGTCACATTTACGATCGCTTCTGATGAGCATTTTTGTTCATTCTCGTCTTGTATGTTACTATGCGCTCTTCTTAATGTTTTCTCATTCGCTGCAACATCTGTTTTTCAACTTCGTTTATGCTAGGATCTGAAGGACCCCCCTTTCCCGTTATTACTTTCTGTTTGTTCATTGATATTATCGTTAGGAACTAAAGTCTCCTGCTCTTTAGTTTGCTTGGCCTCTTTCTCACTGTGGACTTGCGTCAATGCACCCAGGTTAATGTCTTTTTCAGAATCTTTTCCTGTGCCATTTGCACTAGTTTCTGACCGGTTTTTATTTTCGTCCATCCCTTGTAGGTTACCATCTGCTTCTATTGGGGTCTCCTCCTCTCTCCTGCAATATTCCTCTCAGCTTCGTCTGGGTCTGAAGAACTTGATTCCCCATTATTATTTTCTCTTTGTTCAAAGATAATATTATTATGAACGGAATTCCTCTGACCATCATTTTGCTTGATGTCTTTCTCAGCATGATATTGACTCGATGTAATCGGACGAATATCTTTTTCAGAATCTTTTCTCACATCGACTATCGATTCTGATGGAGAGTTCTCCTCATCCGTCACAGTTATGTTGCAATGAGCTTTTCGTGATATTTCCTCTTTTCCAACAATATCTGTTTCAGATTTCATTATGCACAGATCTGAAGGACTTGATTGTACAATATAAGTCTCTATTGGTTCAATCATATTTTGACCAGAAATTGAATTCTCCTGGGCCCCATTTTGCTCGCTGTCTTTCTCCTCACATCCTTGATTCGATGCACCTTTATCAACGTCTTTTTCAGAATCGCGTCCTGTCACATTTACTATCGCTTCTGATGAGCATTCCTGTTGATTCATGCCTTGTATGTTATTATGCGTTTTTTTTAATGTTTCCTCTTTCCCTGCAACATCTGTTTCACCTTCGTTTCTGTTAGGATCTGAAGCCCTTGATACCATGTTATTACTTTCTCTTTGTTCATTGATATTATAGTCAGGAACAAAAGTCTCCTGCTCCTCAGATTGCTTGATGTCTTTATCACTGTGGTCTGGACTCGATGCACCCACATTAATATCTTTTTCAGAATCTTTTCCTGTCTCATTTAAGATCGTTTTTGATCGTTTTTTCTTTTCGTCCATCCCTTGTAGGGTAGCCATCTGCTTTTATTGGGGTTTTCTCTTTTCTTGCAATTTTCCTCTCAGCTTCGTCTGTGTTAAAATCTGAAGAACGTGATTCCCCGTTATTATTTTCTTTTTGTTCAAAGATAACATTGTTATGAACGGAGTTTCTCTTTTCATCATTTTGTTTGATGTCTTTCTCAGTGTGATCTTCGCTCGATGCAACCGGACGAACATGTTTTTCAGAATCATTTCTCACATCGGTGATCGATTCTGATTGACAGTTCTCTTCGCCCCTCAATGTTATGTTGCAATGAGTATTTTCTTGATATTCCTCTTTTTCCAGTACTATTCGTTTCAACTATGTCCGTGCAGCGATCTGAAGTACTTGGTTGTACTTTATTAGTCTCTTTTGGTTCAATGATATTTTCGTCAGAAAATGAATTCTTCAAAGTCCCATATTTCTGGCTATCTTTCTCTTCACGTCCTTGATTCGATGGCCATGTATCAACGTGTTTTTCAGAATCTCGTCCTGTCACACATTTACGATCGCTTCTGATGAGCATTTCTGTTCATTTCATGCCTCGGACATTATTATGCGCTTTTCTTAGTGTTTCCTGTTTTCCCTGAAACATGTATTTCACCTTCGTTTCTGCTAGGATCTGAAGCCCTTGACTCCATATTATTACTTTCTCTTTGTTCATCGATATTATCGTCAGGAACAAAAGTCCCCCGCTCCTTAGATTGCTTGATGTATTTATCACTGTGGTCTTGACTCGATGCACCCACGTTAATATCTTTTTTCAGAATCTTTTTCTGTGCCATTTGCAATAGTTTCTGGCCGGTTTTTTATTTTCGTCTATCCCTTGTAGGTTACCATCTGCTTCTATTGGGGTCTCCTCCTCTCCTGCAATTTTCCTCTCCTAAAGTAGGGGCCACTATTTCTGTATTGTCAGAATCTGAAATTGTATAGGGAAAACAATGCATTTCGAGGTGAAGAAAATGACCTTAATTTGATAGTTCTTCTAAATAATAAATTTTTAAATGTTATGTGTTTCTTTTTTTTAATTTAAGCCAGTGATTTTCAACCTTTTTTTGTCACGGCACACTTTTAACGATTTCAAAATTTGGCGGCACATAAAGAAAAAGGTAAGTTGTTTACTTACCTATAATACACTGTGTAAAACAGATTATGATACTAATTTTGAATGTAAAATAAAATAATATGTACTACCACAAACAGCAGTACATTTATTAAGGGATTAATTACAAGTTAATAATAAGAATACTTTTAATGTGAAATTTGAGCTTGATGTTTTTGATAATTTCATTTATATTTGTTTGTGAAAATGACAATGCTACACTCATATCGTTTTCTACATTTAACAGGCTCGATGTTTTTTCGTTTTTATGTTGGTTAATACTGAAAGTCCGGCCGCCCAGTCTGTATAGTGGTTAGGGATGCTGGACTGCGATGCCAAAGGGCCTGGGTTCGAATCCCGGAGAAGGCATGGTTGTAATTGTCCGTCTCTTCATAGGAAAGACTATAGTGGCCCACCTATTAGGTGCCTCCATAATAAAGAGACCACCACATCCGGTTTTGTATAGGTTAATGGACTGGATTACATTTGTAATTGTTCACAATCTGCCATTGGAAAAAAAAAAAAAAAAAAAAAATACTGAAAATCCGAATTCACACACATAAGATGTAGAAAATTGTAATAATATTTTTTAAAGCGCTTTTGGCTATCATGGGATAATAGCATTTAATGTTAATCCAAAATGATGAATTGATTCTTCCGAATATTTTTAAATTAAATCTCGATTATTAGAAAGCGAAATTAGTTCCTCCTCTTCATTCTAAGTTAATTCAAGTACAGAAGGTCTTCGGCACCAAAATTGGCTTGGATATCACAATTGGAGTACTTATTAATGTCTTAAAAGCCGAATTTTGCCAATTCCCATGCGTACCGTATACTAGGATTAAACCCATTATAATTTTTACTACTTGTGTATACATTTTTAAAACTTGGCGGCACACTTTAAGAATTTGAGGTACACAAAAGTGCCGCAGCACAGTGGTTGAGAATCACTGATCTAGGCGAAATAATATTTAACATGTAATGACAGCATAAAACCCACAAAAGAAGTGTACCAGAATTCCAGTGAAATTCAGTTTCTAAATGCTCTTTAAATTTATTTCACTGAAAGTTTTTGTATATAAATAATTACGGTAAATTAAAATGAACTGTTTTTTTAGCGCTTACAGTTAATCGAGTAACATAATAGTTTTTGTTGAAATAAAATTTATTTTTAATGTGCAAGATTACTTTTCTTACAACGCTTGGCTCATACTTCTTAAATCCTCTTGTTCTTGAGTTCAGAAACTTTCGTTATTATTATGATTCGAATAGTTAAATGCGTTTTCAACCGCCTGAATAGCCAGCGGCCAGTTAGAAAACTGCATGACAAAAGACCACAAGACGAATGCCCACTTAAAAACAGCACACATTTTCAGCAAATCCAAAATAGCTATGAATTCCTGAAAAATTTTACGAACAACAATTATTATGATTAAAAATGAAATTTTCAAGTGAGAATGAAATTAATTTATGTAAAATCCAAGTAGTCAAAATTTAACTAGATTATTTGAAACCGTGCTTTTAATTCACTATGAAAACAGTACAGTATTTGTGATAGCGCACACAAATGTTTTCTTAATCATAATAGAATATGGTACTTTTATCTTTCTCGTTGAAATAAAAGTTCAGCTTTAATTCTCCATATTAAATTCATTATTAATTAAATGAACTTATTAATTAAATGAAATTCATTATATTAATTAATTAAATGAACTTTCAGCAATAGGTACACTGCTGGGGAAAAAAAAAAAAAAAAAATAGATCTCTATCGCAAAATTTCTGCAGTGTTAAATTATTGAAATTAATATATTAAAAATAATATTACATAAATTATTCTCTGTATATGATGAAAAATTTACATACCTTTTATACTCCTTATAGTTTTGTAGAATTAAAAGAAGCAGTGTGGCTAGTATTCCTTTCACCTCCCTTTGTCGGACTTATATGAGGGCACTTCCATTTGTGGCATAAATATAATAACAAAGTTACACATATATGTATATGTTTATAATTACATTATTTTGATTGACTCTCTTAATTCACCCGGAGCTCAAAATGAAATGTGTTCTCTCTACTTAAATTCATTGTTCAGTTATTTGTTATTAATTTATTTTTATTTATCTTTATTCATGAATCTATTTTGTGCAGCTGAAGAAAAAAGGGGGAAAATATTCATTCTAATGTGGGTTTTTGTCAGTGTGGGCTTTTATCAACGTGGGCTTATACCTATATGGGCTTTTATCAATGTGCGCTTTCATCGGTTGGGGTATTAGTCGCGTGGGCAATTATCCCAGTGGGGTCTTTTTTGTGGGCTTTTGTCTGGTCACGGAACAATGCTATATATAAATCTAATATATATCCTAAGTCATGCTTTCCAGACATGGAAAGCGAAATTTGGATTTCGTCAATCAGCCCAGTAGGACGGGAGATAGAGATCTATTTTTTTTTTTTTTTTTTCCCCAGCAGTGTACCTATTGCTGAAAGTTCATTTAATTTTATGAGTGATATAATAACAGAATGTAGAACAGCCTTGACCATTGATGGCCTAGATGTTGGGCGGACCATGAAACATCGTTTATTCTCATGACACAAAAATACACTCATGTCCATAAATTAAGGATAATGCAAAATCAGGCTAAGGAAGAGTTAGAAGCAAAAAAAATTTGACTTATTTGCAAAGCTTATTTATTAAACAAAAGGTAAAGAAAAAAAAAAGATGCTATATGTTTGATATTATTAAAAAAAATTAGCGATTTTTTTTCCCTGGTGCAAATTACAAAAAAACACCTATTTACAAAAAACCAATATTACAAGGTTGGTATGATTGTTAATACATTGTATGTCTCCCAGACAATGCAAAACAGTCCGTACAACGCCTAGGCATGCTGAGTATCAAATTATCGATCTGATCTTGAGGGATATTACACCACTCAAAAAGCAATGCTCTACGAAGTTCTGGTAGACATGTAGGAGGAGGTTGACGGGCTGCAACTCGTCGGCCAAGCATGTCCCACACGTGCTCTACTGAATTCAAGTCCGGTGAGAATGC